AGCTATATTTGCTGTCCTTGCGGCAGATTGTGCTGGCACTACTGTCTCGGAAACTTGACGACCTACATCAAGCCGCTTCGCTCAGAATCCTGCCAGTGTGAATCTCCTTTACCCGATATATCACCACCAGCGACGTTTGACTGCTGCATCTGGATGGGGCCATTTCCATCGTGTTCTTTCGTTTGTTTGTTGCTTGGGTATGCATAGGTGATTGTCGTGACTTTGTTTCTTTTGATATTTAATTCTGGGTCCTTTCATTTTCTTCTGAATGTTCGGTTTGTGTGCTCTTTGGGTGGTTGGCGTGTGACCACGAAGGAAGGCGTCCGCCTCGGTCAGACTGGTGAGAATGTTAGAAGGTGGAAGGTGGTGCTGAGAAACCCGAATGTTTTTTAATAGTATGAAGACAACCCATACCCAAACGAAAGGGAGACAAACGTAAACGGCGCATTGACAGGGATCGTGCTTGTTTGTTCAACAGCAATGGTCTGTCCCAAGGACGATGTCTAGCATATCGCCGGATGAACACTGCTGTAGGGAGATTGCAATACATATCACATGCGTACAACAGTGCGGCTGTGAATTTCTTATTCCCGTGTGCCCAGCTTTGCTTTATCCATGGTTCCTGTGGTATGTAATTCTCAACGGCCACGGCGGGATATCATCATTGTTGCGACAATCCGTTACATCCAAAACGAAACGTAATGACATCCATCATTCTAAGGCACAGCTGTTGCAAAAAAACACTTCGTCCTGTATTTCGTTTTCATATTTTCATCCCCCCACGCGTGACATGCGCGCTGATCTTACCTGCTGTGCTGTGCTGTGAGAGCAGACGCAGCTGCTATGCATACACTGCACTGCGGTGGGAGGCGTTCTCACATGGGATACGGGCAACAAAAGCTTTTTTTAGGTATCCCTTTGGATACGCGGGTACGCATCGTAATCCCCCGTCATCTCGAAATCGATACACGGAGCCCCGCTGGAACCGCGCCCGTCACACACAAACCCAAACGGCTGTTCTGCTCTGTGCTGTTTCTTCTCACCCGCACCGGTGAACGCAGACACAGGGAGAATCCACAGCCCAACCGCAAGCAACCGACCACCTTGACTCCGTGGCGCTTCTCTATCAACATGAGTCGCAGCCATGTGAGCAACACCACCCTCTCCTTGGGCTCGACAGGCGAACCCGCCACACCGAATGGCAAAAAAATGGGTGAGAGAAAGAAGGTAGAGAATTCCACCTAAAAGCTTGGCAAATCAAGAGAAGTTATAGCGGTAGAGCGCCTGCGCTTGAGTGACCGTTGAGTCAGACCGCCGCCGCGCACAGCAGCAGTGCTCAGCATGACGTAGACTCGTGGCCAGTGGCCTATGGTTGGTTTTTCGTGGATGGCCAAGAGCGAAGCTGCTCGCACGGCAGCCCGACAAATGAATCCGATTGTGTATGTCATCACCAAAAGGAAATAATTGATCGCAAAAAGAGGCAAAAACAAAATGGAAAGCTATCGAAGACCCAACAGATTACCACAGAGTTAGAGACGAGGGAGGGTTGGTGCATCACTTGTTTGATCCTAGCTGACGAAAAGAAAAGTAATTGAACGCTTGAGCTGTCAGGTGCACCGAAACTCCAGGCCAGGATGCCGCTTTCGTATGGCGCTCCCAAATCACCCGAGTACAAAATCCGTTCTCCCCCAATGGGTAGTGGATACAACAGCAGCAGCAGCCGGGCCGACCATATAATTCAGCTCATGTACATGTAGTGTAATACCAGCTACAAGTACTGCCGTCTACTAACCGTCGGTCTTTTGCATAGACCCTTCAAATCCTGAATACTGGCTCGCTACCCCTCCTCCGGTGTGTCCCCCCCTCCCCCGCCAGTCTGGAACCGGCGTAAGCAGCAGTGGATAGAGGTGGACGTGACGGAAGAGTCTCCCGGCAAGGCCGCCGCCTCCCCGACCTCCTCCGCCGCCCTCTCCTCCAACGCCTACGCGTCCGGGGTGAACCAGAACGCCGGAAACTTCCTCACCGACAAGCCCATCACCCGAATCCACGCGCCGCCGGGGGGCGCGTCCTCCATCAGCTTCGGCGACGAACACACCGGGCCCGCGGCGGCGGCGGCGGGCGTGAGGACCAAGACGCAGGACCAGCAGGGGCTGGTGCTCGGCACCCCTACGCAGCCGACGACGCCGGAGTCGGCCGAGTCCACGGAGGAGGGACCCGCCCCGATACCCATGATGGAGCTGCCCCCCGCACCGCCGGCTGTCGAGGAGGAGGTGGCGGAGCAAGAGGCTGCGGTGGTGCCCCCGCCTGCACCGGAAGAGGCAGTAGAGGCGGAGGAGGCCGCAGCACCATCGTCTGCCGCGGCCGCGGTCTCTTCGAACGCGTACGCTAGCGGATCCAACCAAAACTCGGGGAACTTCATGACGGGGCGCCCGACCACGCGCGTGCGCGCCCCGCCGGGTGGGGCCAGCTCCATCACCTTCGGATGATGATGATGACGATGATAATGATGGGTGCTGGAATCCCTTTTCCTTTCGATGGTAGGGTGGCTGTGTGTGTTGGAACGTAGCTGCTACTGGTGTCGCGACGGCCGAAGTGAGACGCCACCGGCGGTGCAACAAAAGATAAACGAATGTTCTCCTTTGTCAAAAAAAAAAAAAATGCCCCGCTGATAGTCACTACATGTAGGTTGCTCTAGAAGCCTACGAAACGGCCGCGGTGGCACTAAATATTTTCGTTTGTCGCCTTGCGGGATGATCTTGTTTTCGGCGTCGCTGGCGGCGGATGTCGGGGAGGGAAGGAGGGAAAGTTGCGACGGGGGAATGGGATATTTTCGAGCGGCGGGGCAAGGAATATCATGACCGTACACCATTAATGGTAAAAGTTCTTGAGAGCACCGAACATGCCTTGGCACGACTCCCAACACTCGTCAGGGAGAGAGAGAGGTTGCGTTTAAGCATGGCGAGAGCTCGAAGGGTTGAGGAGAGCACGCGAGGCAAAATGTGCCATCCCTACGGTGCCATTTGGTGGCCTCTAGGAAAGAGGAGGCGCGCGCGCGGGGGGGTGGTTGGGGGGGGGGGGGCAG